GTAACAGGGTTGGCTCTCGAGATCTAGAATGGAAAACCGATTTATATGCCGGCTCTTGCCCCACCCGCGGGTGGCCCGGGGAAGGGACTTGCGCTGGACGGCCCAGCCTGTGCCCATCTGGGAGACGGCTGTGACTTCTCCCGGCCGCGCGGTTCGAGGGCGCCCGAGGTAAAGCCCGGAGCCCGCTGTGGCTCTCTGCCCCGGCTGGGGGCGTCCTCATGCGACTCTCTGTGCTCCGGTGGCCGTGGGGCAGTCCCGCCGCAGATCGCAGGCCCGAGTTCAGAGCAGGTGTCCAGCACCCGCAACAGCAGCGTCTCCCTGCCCTGCGAGGTCCACGCCCACCCGCGGCCAGAGGTCACGTGGTACAATGACGGCCGGGCCCTCTCCCTGGGAGAAGAGGTCTTCCTTCTGCCTGGTGGGTAAACTGAGGCGAGGGGCCAGCCACATGCTCCCCCTAGCCCGGGCCGGGGGTCTGCGGGGGGCTATAGCGGGGGCCTAGAACCAGGCCTGTTTGCTGGTGCGAGGGGCTGGCTCCCAACCCCTGCAGGCAGCCACACACTGCAGCTGGCTCGGGTTCAGCCGTCCGACGCGGGGACGTACGTCTGCGAGGCCCTCAATGCCGCCGGCCGAGCCCAGAAGCTGGTGCAGCTCAGCGTGCTGGGTACAGCCTGCCCCAGCCTCACGCCCGCTCTCCCACGGCCGCGGGCCCCGCCCTCGGCAGCCCAGCCCGCCCTGCAGGGTCCAGGCGGCAGAGCTGGGTCTGGGGCGCCGCCCACGCTTGGGCACACTCAGCCCTCACGTGCTGGCTCCATGACCGGGCAAGGCGCGCCCCTCTCTGAGCCTCAGCTCCCGCCCACATGGCGGGGGGGCTTGAGTTCTCAGCCTGTGCCTGGAGCCCAAAGCCAGGAGGGGACCGAGGGGCCTCCCGAGCCTGCGCCATCTGGGGTTCTTGGCCTGGAGCTTGTTTGGGGTCTCACGCTCTTCACAGTCCTTCTGGGGCCAAGCTGGCCACAGATTCGAGCCAGGACTCACGGAGGCTTCCTCTAGCCGCTCCGGGGTTCACAGCCACGGGGCTTCTATGCCGGTTTGCTCGTGATGGGGTGGTGGGAGCCCCCAGGGCGGGCGCTCACCCAGCTGGGGTCTGCTCCTCCGGGGTACAAAGCTGAGGCCCAGAGAGGGCAGGAGGCGTTCCCAGGCGGCCCAGCAGGTCCCCCCGCGGGCTGTTCATCTGTGGCCGCCAGGCCTCACTCCCCTGTCTCTGGCCCAGTCCCCCCCACTTTTAGGCAGGCGCCTGGCGGTCCCCAGGATGTGGTTCTGGTGCGGTCAGGGGACAAAGCTGTGCTGAGCTGTGAGACGGACTCACACCCTGAGCCAGCCGTGACCTGGTTCAAGGACAGGCAGCCCGTGGTCCCGGCACAGCGGACGCAGGTGCTGCCAGGGGGGCAGAGGCTGGAGATCCTGGACGCCCAGGTGAGCAGCCTCGTGGCGCAGGTGGCTGTAGGGATATGCCTGCTGGTTCCTGCGATTCTGGGGGCACCGGCATGGGGGCTGCTGCCTCGGAGGCCTACCTGACCCCCAGCTGAGTTGGGGCGCAGCCTCCAGGCTCCCACCTGCACAGTGACCTTGAGCAGGTCCACGCAGCCGGCCTCCGTTTCCCTGGAGCTGGGAGTTTATCCGGCCCTCCGGCTATGCTGCTAGCCCTCCCTTCCTGGGGCGGGGTGTTTGCTGGCTGGGCCCCCCTGGGCTCCCTTCTCCTGGCCCACCCGGAACAAGGAGCTTTTCCTCCAGCTTAGCCCACAGGGTGGCTGGCTTTGGGGCGGGCGGGGGGTGGGGGTATCTTCCAGAGCCCGTACACTCCCTGTCCATCAGCCCTCCTGCCTCTCGAGGTTTTGGGAAAGGTCAGTGGGTCCCGTACCCCCCTGGCTTCTCAGGCAGGACGTGCATATCTGGAGGATTGCTGCTCTGGAATGTTCTGGGACTGCATGTTTGGGGGAGCCCCTAGGCTCCCCGTCTCCTACCCACATACACGTTCTCCTCATGCCCTGTGTCCCAGGTGTCAGATAAAGGTCTCTATAGCTGTAAGGTCAGCAATGCGGCCGGGGAGGCCACGCGGACCTTCATCCTCACCGTCCAGGGTAAGCTGGGGCCTGGCCGTCCGACCCTTGCCAAGGGACCCCTTGCCACACTTGAGAGGCCAAGGATGCAGGGCAGGAGCGGGAGAAGGGGGGTTACTGGGTCCCTGAGGGCAAAGGTATTTCATCCTGAGCCCAGCCCTTCTGTTCCACGGGGATGCTGCCTGGCGTGGGCGACTTCACCCTGGCTGAGCAAGAGCCCTGGGATCGATTGGTGATGTCTGCCTGGGCACAGGCTGCAAGCTGCTGTATGTCAGCCGCGAGTAACGTCTCTGCCGGGCAGATCCTCGGAGGTGCTGCTTTGTAATGTCTTGAAACAGTCACATATTTCAAGTGTCTGTGTCCGAAATGGCCAGCTGCTGCTTGTGCTCACGTTTGTGAATAAAACAGCCTGGATCAACACGTGACTGAGTGGGAAATGTTGACTCCCAAGCCCAGGGGGTCTTCTGGGTACCCTAGTTCTACTCAAGAGGAAGGAAATGGCAGGGAGAGTCATTGGACTCTGGGGATCTGGCTTCTCTCCTGCAGTGCCCCCAACATTTAAGAACCCCAAGACAGAGGTGGTGAGCCAGGTGGCGGGAAGCCCCCTGGTCCTGACCTGTGATGTGACCGGGGTCCCTGCGCCCACCGTGACCTGGCTGAGGGACAGAATGCCCGTTGGTGAGTGCGTGTGGCCCTGGTGTGACGGTGAAAGAGGGGGTGTTGCGGCTGCGACTGTTCTTGGCAAAATCAACAGCTGGCAGGGTGGTGCTGGCCACGCCCCCCTTTTCTCCATCAATGTGGCCCTCAAAGCCCCCACATCGGGAATCCGCTGGGGGCCTCTGCTGTGTGTGCTCCCAGGCCGCTCCCCAGGGAGAGAAGTGCAGGGGGAGCCAGGGGCCCCACCGCCGGCCAGGCTTGACGCCCATAGCCGCTCGCCCTCAGCGGCTCCAGGCACTCAGCCCTGACCTGGCCCTCCGCAGCTCACCCTTCCCAGGCCTTTGTCCCAGCCCCGCTCTCCTCCTCCCCCCACCTGGCCACCGATCAGCTGAAGAGCCTCAGTGCCAGCTGCCATCGGCCCCGGCGAGGCCAGCAGACCCACGCTGGTCTCCGGCGCGGCTCGGCTCCATGTGGCAGCAGGAGCCTCAGGCCCGCTGGGCTCAAAAGGGGTGGGCTCTTTTGGGAAGAATATCCCAGTGGAAGGACATGGAGGCAGCAGCCAGAGACCAGGCTGAGGCCGGTTGTGGGGAGAGGCGGCCCTTGTCTGGGCCTCAGTTTCCCTGTGAGTGCAAGCAGCATGTGGGGCACTCCATCGGGATCTTTCCAGGCTGGCCTGGGAGGGACCCTGCTCTGGGAGCCCGGGGACTCTGGCGCCGGGGGCCGGGGGCGGCCTGGGGGTGTGCAGCTGCGGGCTGGCACGGCCTCTGCCCACAGAGAGCAGCGTGGCGCACGGTGTGGTCTCCCGGGGGGGCCGCCTCCAGCTGAGTCGCCTGCAGCCCACCCAGGCGGGCACCTACACGTGTGTGGCCGAGAGCGCCCAGGCCCAGGCGCGCAAGGACTTCGTGGTGGCCGTGCTGGGTATGTCTGTGCCCCCCACCCCGGGTCCCACCCTGCCAGTGCCCCCCTCACCTCTGACCCTGCCACAGTGGCGCCCCGGATTCGGAGCTCGGGAGCCACACAGGAGCACAGCGTGCTGGAGGGGCAGGAGGTGCAGCTGGACTGCGAAGCCGACGGGCAGCCGCCACCCGAAGTGGCCTGGCTGAAGGACGGGGCCCCCCTGGGCCAGCGTGCGGGCCCCCACCTCCGGTAAGGCCGACCCATGCCCTGCCCTGCCCCGGGGGCCGCTGCGGGCGCTCACGGCTGTGCTCTGCCTGCCAGGTTCTACCTGGACCAAGGCTCCCTGGTGCTGAAGGGCCTGAGGGCCTCTGACTCGGGCGCCTACACCTGCGTGGCCCACAACGTGGCCGGGGAGGACGCCAGGCTGCACGCCGTGAACGTGCTGGGTGAGCCGCCGCGGGCCCCGGGGCGTCAGCAGTGGCGGGGGGACCTCCCCCGGCCTGGCCAGGGGAGCTGAGGGCCGAGGGGGCCTGGTCTGCCCTCTCCGGGCCTCCCCAGACCGGAGGCAGTCACTGAGGGTGCAGCGAGGGAGTCGGGGAGCACGGAGATGACGAGAGCCGGGGCCGTGCCCGCAGCGCAGCCTCATCCTGGGGGAGGGGGAGCCCGGCTCCACGATGGCCGCTGTGGCCAGTCTGGCCTCGACAGCCACCTTCTGCAATGCTCCCCCCGCCCTGCCGCCTCACTGCCTGCTTTATTCTCCGCCCACCCCCAGTTCCTCCCACCATCGAGCAAGGGGCGGCGGGTTCAGGGGCCCTGGTGAGCAGGCCAGGGGAGCTGGTGACCATGGCTTGCCCGGTTCGGGGCTCCCCGCCCATCCACGTGAGCTGGCTCAAGGATGGCCTGCCCCTCCCGCTCTCCCAGCGCGCCCACCTCCACGGCCATGGCCGCACCCTCAGGTAAGGGGGCGGAGTCCCGGCCCGGCTGGACAGGGGCACGCAGGCTCCAGACGGCCTCTTCAGGCGGTTCAGCTTTAAAATCACATGCGGCTGGCCTTTAGAATGAAAAAAAGATAAACAAGGAAGTCTGTGACACGGAGAACCGAAGAGCCACCCCCTCAGATCCCAGTGCCGACGTCTGGTTGCGCTGGATTCAGCCTGACCCTGGCTGGGGACACCAGGGAGGGCTTCCTGGAAGAAGGTGCCTGAGCACACTCAGAGCGCCCGACCCTGGGCAGCGGGGTGGGCCCTGTGCCCTGCCCCGCTGGCACTCGTCAGCCCCCAGGTCCTGCGTGCGTGGCGGGGGCTGCGGGATGATCCGTTTCAGGGTCACTGACGAGCAGCTAGGAGGAGAGGTCAGGGGAAAAGAGGTCCTACGGGAGTGAGGGTGGAGGCAGGCAGTGGCTGGGGACCCCTGGCGAGTCCCGCAGGCATCAGAGCAGGAGTCTGTGTGCCAGGAGAGGTTTGGCAGAGGCTGGACTGGGGTGCATTGCAGCCGCCGCAGCAAGTGCTGGGAGACGGGCGACGGGGGCCAGCGCGGGGCCCTCCCACTGAGTAGCCTCTCTCGCCTCGCTCCTTCCTCCCCGCCGCCCCTCTCTCGAGGGCTGCAGGATCTCCCCAGTGCAGTTGGCAGATTCTGGCACCTTCACCTGCCTGGCGGCCAGCCCGGCCGGCGTGACCAGCAGGAACTTCAGCTTGCAGGTGCACGGTACGCGGGGCGGCCTCGGGGGTCCTCGGGCTTCGGGCGGGGCTCAGAGCCCTTGGGGCCACCGCGGCTCCCCAAGCCCATTCGCTCGGCCGCGCATTCGCCCATCTCACGAGCAGCCGTTGGATGCGGGGTGTGCCAGCGCCTCCAAGCCCCGGAGGGGCAGGAGCAGGGTGGGTCCTGCCAGCAGGACAGTTCAGGGAAGCAGCTCTGCGAGGCGACGAGAGCCCCAGAGGGCCTCGACCTGGCTGGGCGCTCAGGGGAGACTTCTGGAGGGGTGAGGTCTAGGCCAAGGACTGGAGACGAGAAGGAATGGCCCGGGAGAAGGGACAGCGGGCAAAGGCCCCGGGGAGGGCGGCTGGCTGGGGTGAAATGGCGCGTGTCCACTCTCGGCCTGCACAGAGCCACCGGTCCTGGAGCCAGTGGAGTTCCAGGAGGACCTGGCGGTGGCGCGGGGCTCCCCGCTCTTGCTCCCCTGTGAAGCCCGGGGCAGCCCCCTGCCCCTCGTGTCGTGGATGAAGGATGGGGAGCCCTGGTCACCCCAGAGCCCGGAGCAGGGCCCTGGGCTGCGGCTGGAGGCCGTGGGAGCCGGCGACTCGGGGACCTACTCCTGCGTGGCCACCAACGAGGCGGGCGAAGCCAGGAGGCGCTTCCAGCTGACCGTGATGGGTGGGTCCCTGCCCTCAGCGGCCCCTCTGGCCCAGGGAGAGGGGGGCGGGCCTTCGGGGGCACAGACAGCAGTGAGGGGAAGTGAGGCCCACCCCAGAGGGCCGGGGTCTCCCCGGGGGGGGGGGCGGCAACTTCTCTGACCCGCCCTGGGCCTGCCCCGCCTAGGGGCTGCTCCCCTGCCCACTCCCAGGCTATAGACTAGATGAGCCGTGTCGGCGGTGGGTCCCCTCCCCACCGTGTCTCAGCTGGCTTCAGAGCGCAAACAATCGTGTCCAAAACACGATCCCAACCCCCCACCCCACCTCCTTATGCTCCGTCAGCCTCTGACATCTGGAGGGGAGGGGTGCGGGTGAGCCCCAACACGCAGCACTCTGGGCACAGCGTCCATGGCGGCCCACGGTGGGGTGTCTTGCAGATCCCCCCTACATCGAGGACTCAGGCCAGTCTGGAGAGTTGTCACTGACCCCCGGCACGCCCTTGGAGCTCCCCTGTGATGCCCAGGGCACGCCCCAGCCCAACATCACCTGGCATAAGGACGGGCAGGCCCTGAACTGGACAGAGAATGGCCATCGGGCTGGCCGGGTGCTGCGGGTGGACGCAGTGCAGGTCTTCTCCCTCACCCCGCTGGGAAGAGGCTGGGACGGGCAGGGAGGGGTCAGGCAGCACTGGCAGGATTTGGCTGAGCGCCAGCTTCGCGCAGGGTGAGGATGCAGAGGTGACCCGCCAGGGCAGCGTCCAGGCTGGTGCAGAAACCTGCCTGGCCAGAGGAGGACCGGCGCAGTGAGGGGGGCTTCCTGGAGGAGGCAGGCTTTGCCCACCTCTGAAGCAAGGATGAGACGGACCTAGAGAACACCGTCCGGGAGAGGGGGCGGCCGGGCTGGAAGGCGGGAGGCGGGCTCAGTAGGCCTGCGTCTGGACCCTGGGCTCTTATGTGTAAAAGAACCCAGACGGGCGGGGGGCAGGCCGGGGCAGGAGCAGCTGGTCACCTGTTCCATCCCCAGGTGGGCGATGCCGGACTGTACACTTGCCTGGCCCAGAATCCAGTGGGTGACGTCGAGAAGAGTTTCCGGGTCAGGGTTCAAGGTAGGGGCTGCCAGAGCAGGGGGGGGGGGGCGGGAAGAAGGACTGGCCCTGCAGGGGCTGCTCCTCACGCCCTCTGCTCCTGACAGCTCCCCCAAGTGTGCTCGGGCCCCGAGGCCCCCGCTCCGTGGTTGGCCTGGCGCCAGGGCAGCTGGTCCTGGAGTGCACCGTGGAGGCAGAAACAGCCCCCGAGATTGAGTGGCACCGAGACGGCGTCCTGCTGCAGGTGCGGCCGCCCAGGCCGGGCCATGATGGGACCCCAGGGGCCGGGCCCGCGCCCCACCTTCCCACCCCGTCATACGGCCACCCTCAGGTCACCCTGTTGGTGGTGTGGAGGCTGAGGCCAGACTCAGAGCTGCGCCAGGGCCTTCCCACGCACACCCTGCGTCTCCCGCTGGACCTTCGGGCCGCAGAGGGTTGCTGTGCGGCCCAGGCCCAGTCACGGAGCTGCTCTGTGCCCAGCAGCCCACGGTTGTCGGGTTCCTGGTCTAGCCGCTGCCCACGGCCTCCCGTGGGAGTCCATTTCCTCGGAGGGCCCTCTGTATGTGTCAGGTGGGGGTCAACCACGGGGCAGAGGTCCCCCCAGTTCCCAGGCCCCCTGGCCAGTCCAGGTGCTGATGAGGCCTCTGCCCGGGGCTCTAGAGAGGAGGGGGAAGCCCCCCAGCCCACCAGCCTCGACTCTGCACCCTCACCCCGCAGGCCGACGCGCACACCCAGTTCCCAGAGCGGGGCCGGTTCCTCCAGCTGCAGGCCCTGAGCCTGGCGGACGGCGGGGACTACGGCTGTACTGCCCGCAACGCCGCGGGCAGCACCAGCGTGGCCTTCCACGTGGAGATCCACAGTGAGTGGTGCCCACCTGCCCCGACCCCGCCGGGGCGACAGGCTCCCGGGACCCACGCCCTCTTGCCCCTCCCCTAGTGGTGCCCACCATCCGACCCGGCCCAGCCGTAGTGAATGCCTCGGTCAGCCAGACGGCCCTGCTGCCCTGCCAGGCGGACGGTGCCCCCCTGCCCCTGATGAGCTGGCGGAAGGATGGAGCCCCCCTGGACCCTGAGAACCCCAGGTTGGACTGGAAAGGGGGGGTCTCAGGTGTATGTTTGCTAGCAGGAAACAGAAATCCACGTGGCAGGTGACTAGTCATCAGGACAGGCCCCTGGAGCCCGGGCAGGGTGCCCATGGCCAGGCACTGAGAGCCCGGCCCACATCCGTCTGTCCGTCTGTCTGGGTTTGACTTTGGCCCCTACAGTAATCTCTGTTTCAGGGGTGGGGGCTTCCTGCTCCTCTCTACCTCCCCCTTCCTCCTCTGGCCTCAGCTTATTGACATCAAGACTGGATTCTTGGGGTTCTTATGACTATAGGACGCCCTTTACCAATGATGTCTTACGAGACCTGGCACCGGGGTCACGATGCCCACCTGGCCGCCCTGGCCTGTGGGCGGGGACAGGCACGCGTCTGCGTCCTGCTTTTATTGGGATTGAGGGTGGGGTTAGGGTTTCCTGGGCTTACTGTTTTTTGGTGCATTCAAGTCATGAGAGTGGGAACTGGAGTCTGGAAGGACAAAACAAGGGAAAGGCCAAGTGACCGGCACCCTAAACTGACTGGACGGCGTCTCCCTGGGGCAGCCTGGCCCCTTTGAGCGGGTGCCCCAGCACCAGCCCGAGCCAGGCGTTGCGTGACGAGACAGAAGCCAGCCTGGGAGGGTGCACCCTCTTTCCCTGTGCCCATGGCAGAGAAGTCCTCTCCAGGGCCCTGACTGGGCGCCTGCTTCAGACTGGGGCACCTCAGGTCTGGAGAGCTGCCTGTGAGTCCCCTCCCCAAATTCCCAGGGCAGAGAACGCCATTGGCTCCGCCCCCCTGATGGGTTCATCCGCTGTCCAATCAGCTGTGGCCGGGGCGGAGCTAAACCGCCCAGCCCCGCCCCTGGGAAGGGGCCGCTCTCAGGGCCTGGGGCCAGGCTCCCGACCAGCAGGGTGCTGCTGTGTGATTCTTGGGGAGACGCTGCCCCCACGGGGGCGCCGGGAGGTCTCAGGAGACGGGAAGCAGCCCCTTCACCATTCCGTGTAGCTCGGGGCTGGGAGCTGCCTGAGCTGTGCCCCAGCCGGCCTCGGCCTCTCCGCCGATCCTGAGCTGCCCCCGCCGGCTGGGAAGATGGCACAGGCAGGGGACCCAGCCCTCCTGGGGCCTCGCCGGTGTGCGGGTGCCCGCATCCCCCCCTCCACCCCAGGTTGCAGGTGCTGCCAGAGGGTTCCCTGAGGATCCAGCCCGTCCTCCCTCAGGACGCGGGCCGCTACCTCTGCCTGGCGTCCAACTCCGCAGGCTCCGATCGGCAAGGCCGCGACCTCCGGGTCTTCGGTAGGGGCTGGGGACAGCCTGGGCCCGATCCTGCTGTGTCTGGGTCATGTCGCTGACGGCGCCAAGAGCAGTGACCATAAAGTGCATTAGTGCTGACTGGGCAGGCACACCCAAAGGTGCCGCTCACCCCGCCCCCGGGGCCTCGCGGGGGTGGGGGGCCGCGCTGCTACCTGAGTGACCGCAGGAGCCCAGAGGGCCTTCTGAAAGGACGCCGCCGCTGGGCGCCGCGCTGGCTGCCCCAGCACCTTGGCCTCGGGCTGGCAGGCCGAATTATGCCCAGAGGCTCTTTCTAGAAGGGGCGGGGCGGGGCGCGGAGATGCCCGTCACCCCAGCTTGGAGACTCGTATGGGCAGTTCCCTCCAGGGCGTCTCTCTGCGCCGCCCTTGCCCTGCTTTCTTGGGGAGGGCTCCGCCTCTGGCCGCCTCCCAGCTCCGGTGTCTCCCCAGAGCCTCCAGCCGTCGCGCCCAGCCTCTCCAACCTGACGCTGACTGCACACACCCCCGCGTCGCTGCCCTGTGAGGCCAGCGGCTCCCCCAAGCCCCTCGTGGTCTGGTGGAAGGACGGACAGACCCTGGACTTCCATCTGCAGCAGGGCGCCTACCGGTACTGAGCGGGGCTTGGGGTGCCGGAGGGGGTGGGGGCTCGAGGCGGAGGGGCGCCGGGCCGAAAGTGAGGCCGAGGTGTGGGCGTCTCACCAAAGCCAGCGCTCGTGGCCCCACCTGGGCTGCCGGCGGGGGCGGTTAGGACTGCAGACCCCTCCCCCTGCTCCTGCCCTCCAGGCGCAGCTGACCAGGGAGCCGGGCGCTCAGTTAACTGAGCATGGTGCTGGGGATCGGGACGTGGCTGCTCCGTAGGCGTGGCCCAGGGGGAATGAGGGGAAACTAAATCGCCCACACTCAGCAGCTAGACCTTAGTGGGTAGAAATTCCCGGAAGAAACTTCTAGAACCAGGCTTGGGGCAGGCACAGGACCGGGAGCGGTTGTGAGAGCCCGCCCGGCCAGACCCCTGCGCCAACTCACGGCCGTCTGTGTCTGTCTGCCCGCCCGCCAGGCTCCTGCCCTCCAACGCCCTGCTCCTCACGGCCCCCGGGCCTCAGGACGCAGGTCAGTTTGAGTGTGTGGTGAGCAACGAGGCGGGGGAGGCCCGCAGGCTCTTCCTGGTGACCGTTCACGGTGAGTGGCGGGGGGGGTGCGGGCCCCGCCCCTGGCCGCTCTCTGCTGCGGGCTTGACCGTTCCGCCACCGTCCTGCTGCTCGGCCACCTCCTCCGCGCCCCCGCTTCCCACCTACCTGCGCTGGCATAACCCTGCTGCAGCACTGCCCCAGCGTGCGGGAGCTCCAGGAGGCGCCTCTTCTTGATCCACGCGTAATCTTGTCATCACCCTGGTGACCACCCCTCCCGCCACGCACTGCTCTGGGGGGGGGGGTGCAGCCTGTCGCCTGGGCCCCCAGGGCCCGTGTCACCTGCTCATGCTGACCCTGCCCTGGCCCAGCCGACTCCACAGCCTGCCTCGCTCCGGGGTCCAGTCAGGCCGCTCAGCTTTTTGTTCCTCACCTCAGAGCTTTTGCACATGCTGTTCCCTCTGACGTGAACACTGTTCCCTTCACCTGGTCAATCCTGCTTTTCCTCCAGGCGGCAGGGTAAATGCCACTTCCCCTGGGGTGCAGCTGCCTCCCTCCCCTCGGCTGCCACTCAGCTTTTTCTTGGCTGGGGGCGCTGCAGAAAGCAGCCCCTAGGTGTCCCCAAAGCCCAGCAAAAAGTAGCCGCTGAGGGAGTGAAGGTGACCCCCTCTCTGCTGCCCCCTTCCCGACACTCCTCACTGACGTCACCCTCTGCTCAGTCTGTTCCTCGTGGGCATCTGCCTGGCCCGGGGGCCGCGTGCCCCCAGTGGCCCCCGGCCGAGCCTCAAGCCCTGTCTTGCGTTTCAGTGCCCCCCACCATCGCCGACGACCAGACAGAGTTCACTGTGACCAAGATGGCGCCCGTGGTGCTCACGTGCCACAGCTCGGGCGTGCCGGCCCCCGCTGTGTCCTGGGCCAAGGCGGGCACCCCGCTGGGTGTGCGGGGCAGCGGCCACCGCGTCTTGCCTTCAGGTCAGTACGGGGAGCCTGACACATCGTGGAACACACGGGGAAACTGAGGCCGGAGAGTGGAAGGGACTCGCTTCACGCTCTGGGTGGGGGCAGAACCAGGGCTCCGCCCCGCCGACTCCCGAGCGGGCCGGGGCTGGGCCAGAGACACCCGCGGGGTGTGCAGAGCCCGGCCTGGCCCTCTTGCCGCTCCACGCCCCTCCCGTGCCCCGCCCCACGCGCAGGAGCCCTGGAGATCGGGCAGGCCCTGCCCATCCACGCCGGCCGCTACACCTGCACCGCCCGGAACGCCGCGGGCATCGCCCACAAGCACGTGGCCCTCACCGTGCAAGGTAGAGGCCCGGGGCGGGGGCGGGCGGCAGGTGCAGCCCTGGGCTCCCGGTGGCCAGGCCCGGCCCTCGCCCTGCTCTCCGACGGGGAGGAAGAGTCGGCAGGACCACCGGCCGCTCTCAGGGCCTCACCGGCCGCGGAGGCCCCCGGGGGCGGAACCTGGTGCTGAAGGTGCGGCACCTCCGAGGTCTCCCTCCCTGCAGCGCCCCCCGTGGTGAGGCCCCTGCCCGGCGTGCTGCGCGCGGTGGCCGAGGAGGAGGTGCTGCTGCCCTGCGAGGCCCTGGGCCTGCCCCGGCCGAGCGTCACCTGGCAGAAGGAAGGGCTGCGTGTCGCGGCCGGTGCGTCTGCGGGGCCGGCGGGAGGCGGGGGCTGGGCCTGGCGTCCCCGCGCCCCGCGATCTCCCAGACTTGCCAAAAGCCCCGCCGGCCCCCGGTCACCTGTCCCTCCACCTGGCCTGCCGCCCCGCCCTCCTTTCCGGCTGCAGAACTCAGTCCGAGGCTGGTCAGGAGGTTGCGGGTGGGACCCTGGGCTGGGCTCACGCTGCCACCCTGTGGCCACAGCCGCTGGCCACGCCGAGCAGCCCAAGCTGCTCCTCAGGCCCTGCTGCCGGGTCACCCCCCTCCCTCCCCGAATCCAGGAGCCGGCGTCCAGGTCCTGCGCAGTGGACACCTGCGGCTTGTGCGCGTCAGCCCGGACGACGCCGGCAACTACTTCTGCGTCGCCCAGAATAGCGTGGGCAGCGCCCTGGGGAGAACGCGGCTGGTGGTGCAAGGTGGGGGGTGCCGGGAGACAGGCGGGGCTCCGGCTCCTGACGCGCTCCCCTCCCTGCCCAGCTCTGGGCCCAGGCCGGCCTGACCCGGCACCCACCCCTGCCCCCAGGGCAGCTGGTGGTTCTGGAAGGAAAAGAAAGAAAAACACTGTCTCATTTTGCACCCAAGATGTGGCTCCGGTCTCGCCCTCCCTGCCTCTTGCCTGGCCCTCGCTGCCCTGTCTGTCATCCCTCATTCATTTCAGCTTCCCAGTGACAGGCCTCTCTGGCCCTTGCCCGCACCGACAGTGAAAGTGTCCTCCCTTAATCTGAACAGAGAAAGGAGGCCTCCCTGGCCAAGCACCCGCAAGTCCTGCTGGGCCCCCAGGGGCCTGCTTTGGTTGGCGGCCGTCCGGTGGACAGCCGCGGGGGGCTGAGGTGGGCCGGTGCTGTGGGCTCCCAGGGACCCCGGGCTCCACGCCTCCTCCTGAGCCCCCTTATCCCACTGTGCCTCTGAGGGCACTGGGGGGTGGACAGGAGCCCTGCCAGTGACCCGCCCTCTGCCCAGCGCGGCGCCCCTCGGGGGAGGACGTGTTTGGGGCTGCTGCTGTGCTCCTGGCCGGGCCCAGCACAGGCACCCAGCCTGCGCGGCGGCTCAGAGACCTCGTCCGGAAGCTCTGGTGCCAGAGAGCCCTTGAGCGCGCGCAGTGGCCTGTGGTCTGTGACTGTGGGCTGCTGGTGGGGTGGTGGAAGGATCTTGGGGTGTGCCAAGCTTTGGGGCCCTGGGGCACAGGAAGCCCCCTTCAGCCCAGTCCCTGAGTGGCCTCCCCACCCCCATAGTCCCCCCCAAGATCGAGACTGGCCTCGCTGACCTGTCTACCATCGAAGGCTCCCATGCCCTCTTGCCCTGCACGGCCAGCGGCAGTCCCCAGCCGGATATCACCTGGGAAAAAGACGGCCAGCCCGTGTCTGGCGTCGAGGGGAAGTTCATCGTCCAGCCTTCCGGGGAGCTGCTGGTGAAGGACTCAGAGGTGAGCCGGGCCACTGGGGCCGAGGGCAGCCACCGCAGTGTCCACCCCTCGGCCACGCTCTGAGTGGCGCCTGGGCATCTCTGAACCCCGGGAACCTGGGGCAGGTGTCACTGTCCCGGCTCACAGCATGTACCTGGTCCGAGATTGCTGTTACTGAGGGGCGGAGCCAAGCCGCATCCGGACCCCGGGTAGAGGGTGCTGGCCAGAGGGTGTGGGGTTTGGGCAACTGCCCACGACTCTGGCCCCCAAACTGCACTCGGTTCTGAACCAGACAAGGCTGACCTGCGCCAGAGGCATGGCCTGAACCCCCTCACCCCCACCCTTATCAGGCACCAGCTGGCAAAGTGGGCTCTTCGGAGGGTGGGCACCCGGCTGCGTGGTGCCATGCTCTAGCCTGGGACCCCCTGGTTAGATGGCATCGTGGTGGGGGCCCCTGCCTCTCTGAGAGCCCCCAAGTCCCCGCCCTCCGCAAGCCTGCGGCGAGGCCCAGCCTGAGCCCAGGGCCGGGCGCCCAGAGGTGCTCGGCCAGGGCCCTGGCGGCGAAGGAGCCGAGCCCGATGGAGGCTGCGCGGGGCCGTGGGGCCCCCGGGGGCAGCTCTCAGGGCGACCGTGTCGGCCCCCAGAGCCAGGACGCCGGCACCTACACCTGCACCGCTGAGAACGCCGTGGGCCGCGCCCGCCGCCGTGTCCACCTCACCATCCTGGCACTGCCCGTCTTCACCACGCTGCCCGGGGACCGCAGTCTGCGCCTCGGGGACAGGCTGTGGCTTCGCTGCGCCGCGCGGGGCAGCCCCACCCCCCGCATCGGCTGGACCGTCAACGACCGGCTTGTCACAGGTCTGGGCCCAGCCCGTGGGGAGGGGCAGGGTGTCGGCTGGGCCCGCGGTCCGCCGCCTCGGGACGGGGCCTGAGTCACGTGCCAGACCTGGCAGGAAGCCACTTGCAGAAGAGATTCACCCCGGAGACTCGTGGGGCCCCCTTGGCAACCCCGTTGTGGGGCCCTGTCCTTCTGCCCGGGCCCGGGCTGGTGGTCGGGGAGGCACAGGGCCTGCAGGGCGCGCAGTGGGAGCTGAGAAGTAGCTGCTAAGCCGATGGCTGCCAAGGGCCTCCTGACCGCTCCCGGTGCCCAGGGCGTGTGCAGACGCCGCCTTCGCGCAGCCTCCGCCTCCTGGGCGCTGGGGCGGGTGACTCAGCCTCCGAGTCCGCCTCTTCACCTCCAGATAACAGGGTCCTGCGGCGGGGTGAGCTCATGTGATTCCTCTGGGCCCATCCCCAGTGTAAACGCTGCCTCAGCGACCAGCAGCCCCTGCCCGGGGCACGGGCGTGGCCAGCCCACAACAAAGCCCTCGTGGCCCCATGTGTGGGACGCAGCACCACTTCCTGGAGCGGCCTGTGTGAACAGGCCCGCCGACTACCCCGGCACTCACCCCGTCAGGGAGTGGGCCCAGGGCGGACGCAGGCCGGTCTCCCTCCACCCGGGGAGGCAGACACCTGTTGCCTGTCTCCTTATTAAGCACCTGCTGTCGACCAGGGCTGAGTTAGGCTTTCAGGACAGGAGGTCCTGGACGGCGTGGGCTCGAGGTGTCTCTCTCTGCCACAGAGGGGGTGTCTGAACAGGACGGGGGCAGCACGCTGCAGCGGGTGGCCGTGACCAGAGAGGACAGTGGCACCTACGTCTGCTGGGCCGAGAACAGAGTGGGCCGCGTGCAGGCGCTCAGCTTCGTCCACGTGAAGGGTAGGGCCGGCCTGTGGCCTTTCCCCAGACCTCTGCTGACCTGGTGTTTCTATGAAACTGGCCTCCTGACCTCTGATCCTGCCCTGGCTGTGCATGAGGGTCCCCGGGGATTTTATAAAACACCCAGTCCCAGGTTTCATACCCCACTTGGCAAGCCTGCCTCCCAGGGGTGGGGTCCCCAGAGGACGCAGCTGCAGGTAGAATAAAAAGCTGGCCCCTTGACCTGAAGCACTACTCTCTGCTGGATGGTGCCAGTATGGGAGAGGGGCAGGGGCCTGGGGACCCAGCAAAAAAGTGTGACGCTTTCAAGCCTGACCGGGCCTGCGTTGTCACCATGGTGACGTACTGACTTAGCATGTTCAGCCCCAGGACGTGTGGGGTGGGCTGAGTAGCCCAGGGCACCAGGGCATCTTTATTGCGGCTGGTAGATTCAACCTCAGGAAGCCAGCAAGCCCGGAAGCCAATGGAGGCCATCCAAGAACAGTTCGAGATCTATATGAAACAGGGATTGGAAATGTCTCTATCATTGCTGTGTCCTACAGAGGTGTCCTGATGGCCCGTGGCTTCTGTTTTTCAAAGTACTGGCAGGTTCTCTGCAGATGGGCTCCGTGAACATGAATATATGCCACTCATATCCCTGCCACCCCTCCTGTGCCCGTCTCGGGCATCACTAATCAATCACAGCACCATTCCCCCTCAGCTCTTTCCCAGTGTGGTATTCCTAGCAGCCACGGCCAGTCTACTTCACTGACCCCCACCCAGAAGTATTGATTATACACAGCTAGGCCTGGCCCCAGGAGCTTCTGGACTCCAGGGTCTGGAGGTCAGGCCTTGGGGGGTGGGCTCATGGGGACTGAGCCCGACAGACCCTTCTTTCTAACCCCTTGTCTGATGCCCCAAACCCCGTGCAGAGCCCCCCGTTCTGCAGGGGGAGGCCTTCTCCTACCTGGTGGAACCTGTGGGGGGCAGCATCCGGCTGGACTGTGTGGTCCGTGGAGACCCGGCCCCCGACATCCGCTGGCTCAAGGATGGCCTTCCGCTGCGGGGCGGCCGCCTCCGGCACCGGCTGCAGAATGGCTCGCTGACCATCCGCAGGACCGAGGCAAGGCTGCCGGAGGGCCCCGGGCATCTCTGACCGCTCAGGAGGGTTCTTTATGTGGCACCAGCCTCTAGAGCCCCAGCACTTCCTGCCTGTACCCAGAGACCTCCCACTCCCTGGGGCAGGAACTTAGCACCCTTGCGCCTCGGTCTCATCACATTCAGCGGGGCTAACAGTTCTTTCTACCCCGGGGGCTTCTGTGAAGTCAGCGAGATGCCCTGTACGAGGAAGTTAAGAGAACTGGCTCCCGGCAACCCCATAAAGGTTGTGTATGCCAGGCCAGGTAGACAGGTGAGCAGGCCCCACTACAGTTGAAAACAGGCTCCCAAAGGCCACAGCCGGTGAGCGCCCACAGCGGCTGTGCCCAGGTCAGTGGCAGCCAGTCCACGCGGTTGCCGGGCACGGGCAGCCCCCGTTCCGCTCCCCACTGTGTCCCTGGGCCGGAGCTGGGCCTGTGAGGTTCGCGGTGGACGCCGGGTCTGACCGGCCGGGGACCCGTCTCCGGAGCAGCTGTCAGCCTGAGGCCCAGGGCGCTGTGAGCCCAGTGTCTCCCGGGGCTCCGGGTAGCCAGTGCGGTTCTTGGAAAGCTGAGTCGGCCCTAGCGCGTCCCCGAGTGCGAGACGGCGCCCTGACGGCCCTCCTAGTCCGGGGGAGCTGGGCCTCCCTGTTGGTCTGAGCCCCGGACCGCTTACCTGCCTGTCCGGCTGCCCCAAGGGGGCCCTGCGAGCGGCCTCCGGGGGGCCACCGTCTGGGCGTGGAACTTGGCCCCTGGCTACCCCGCCCCCGGGGCTAGTTCTCCCTGGCAGGGGTGAGGCCAGCCCCCTCCCACCCGAGCTGGGGAGTCACGGCAAACTGCCTCCCTCGAGACGGGCGCAGTGTGCTGGCACAAGGACACGCGAGCCCCGGCACCGCCTGTTTGCCTGGACGGTTCCCCAGGAGCCCTAGTACTGTGCCACTGTGACATTCCATCTCAGGCAGGCAGGGCTGGGGCCAGGTCAGCAGTGCACAGCTGCCCTCCGGCGTCTCCACCGGGCCCCCTTCCAGACGCAGAGGGCCTGGTCCCCGGGGCCCACCTGCCGCGGCCTGCCCTGGGGGTCCCCGAGCCCCGGCTGGTTGATGCTCTAAGCCCCTCCCCGCCGGGGTGGCCTTGCGCGCCCTCGGTGCCCAGCGGCCTGCACCCCTGAGCACGCCCCTGCCTGCCCGCAGAGGTCCGACGCGGGACGGTACCAGTGCCTGGCGCGGGGCGAGCTGGGCGCCGTGGAGAAGGTGGTGCTCCTCGTGCTGCAGAGTGAGTCCGGGCGGGCCTGCGGGGGTGCTCGGGCCGCGAGGCCACCGGCAAGGTGGCAGAGGAGCAGAGAGGTGTCCCGGAGCGCGGCCAGTGTTGGGGGCTCGCGCACGCGGTGCACCAGGGGCCCCACAGCCGGGCGGGGTCCGTCGCCGAGATCGCGGTGCCCGCAGGCGCTGACCGCCTCGGGTTTCGTACTTGTCTGTCCGGAGGGCCGACTGGCCGGCCTCGCCCCTCGGCTGGGTCAGAGAGGACACCCGGCCCAGCCCCAGGAGACGCTGACCCTGCGGGCTGCTAAGCGGCTCCCCCAGACGGGGCCTGGCCTGGCCTCCGGGGCCCGTAAACCCGATCGTGGCTGGGAAAAGCTTTGCGGATGTGATGAAGTTTAGCATGAGATAGGGGGTTATCTGGATGTCCTGGGTGAGCCCTAAATGTCACCGCGGAAGCTCTGGCGAGGAGAGCGGGAAGGGGCGCGGTGCTGTGGAGCTAGAGGCTGAGAATGGGCGACCAGGCTCAGGCCGGAACGCTAGAAGCTTCCAGAAGCCAGGAGAGGCAGGGCCTCAGGAGGGGCCTCGCAGCTCACCTTCGGCCCTGGGAAACCGCTGGCCCTGGACCCCTGGCCCTGCCCGCCAGCCAGCGCCGTGGCCGCTGTGGTTTGCTGGTTTCCGTGCGGCTTCCAGCAAGGTGTGGCCACGCGCGTGACCTCCCACGGCGCCTGTCCTGCTGGCCACGCCCTTGCCGGCCTGGGCCTGTCTGTCGTTTTAGACACTCTGGGGGTTCAGGGGCCATAGGCGGGCAGGAACTAAGAGGTCAGATGAGAAGACTGAGGGTCTGGAGAGACTCGGGGAGTCTCTCCCCAGAAGTGACAGACCCCAGCCACCGCCCCTTCAGTGACACGTAGCGCCAGTTCTGGCCGGGGCCCCCCTCTGTTGCGAGGCCCCGAATGCGCCCACAGTCAGCACAGCGACGTGTCGGCCAGCAGCGGGCCGTGTGCGGGGTGGCGGCTCCTCGTAGCTGCAGCTCACGCCAGCCACGCCTCATCAGCCGGTGACGTCTGCACAGTTGGGGTTCGGTGAAGCAAACCCCCCTAGATCTGAGCCACTGGGGAGCGAGGGGCCCCCACCCTGCCTAGTTCCTGCCGCCGGGAGGCAGCCACGTCCCGCGGAGCGTGAAACGCTGCCAGCAGCGGCCGCCCGAGACCCAGCCAGCAGGAGACGCCGGCAGCGGCCCTGGGGGTGGCGGTGGGGGTGGGGGGCCGCCCCGCGTGGGCATCTTCTCCGCCCCGTTTTCAGCCTGTCTGAGGGATGTGGCCGCTTGGCGGCCCTAAAGCTGCCTGGGCCTCCCCCAGGTGCCCCGGTATTCCAGGTGGCACCGCAAGACGTGGCGGTGAGCTCCGGAGACGCAGTGGCCCTGCCGTGCCAGGCGGAGGGAGAGCCGGCGCCCAGCATCCAGTGGCTGCGGGCGGGGCAGCCCCTGCGGGCCGGCCGGCGGCTGCGGACCCTGCCGGACGGGAGCCTGTGGCTGGAGCGCGCCGAGGCCGGCGACGCCGGGGCCTACGAGTGTGTGGCTCACAACGCCCTGGGCTCGGCCACTGCCCGGGCAGTCCTGGCCGTGAGAGGTACGGCGGGCCGGGGAGGGCCTCCTGCGGGCGGGGACCTGCGTGTCGCCTGCGGGGCACCGGGGCCCGGCCACTGCCAGCTCCCAGACGTGGCCTTGCTCGGAGACGCAAACCGAGACTGCACCCGCAGGGGCCCCGGGGATCCTCTCCTCCACCCTGCCCTCGACAGCAGGGGAAACCGAGGCTGTGAGGTGCCAGGCCCGGCTCTTCCAGGTTACCGGCCAAGGCGACGCGTCTGCTTTCTGGACGTTCCACACCCCACGGGCTCTGCACCCCCAGGGCGAGCTCTCGTCCCGAGCTGGGCCGGCCAGGCTGGCTCGCCAGGGCCCCCGGCCCTGATGCTCCGCGTCACTCCTGCAAACCCTCTTTTTGTTTTTGAATGTCGTCGCCACTGACTTCACTAGTAACCCACGCTTCCCCGACGGTCTCCGCGGTTGTGTGTGCCTTTGTGCAACCTGCTTGGTTTCCGGAAGTGACTTCCCCAGGGGCATTGCTAGGGAAAGTCTCTTCTCCCTCCTGTCCCGTCATCTGGGATGCAGCGGGACTCATCCGGGCCTTGTGGGGGCCGGGGGCTGTGAGTCGCCCGTGGCTGGTCGTTCCTGGTCTCCAAGTTCCCGTCTCCTCAAGGTGCCCAGGGCAGGCTCCTTTCCCGCAGCTCCCGAGTGCAGCGGCCAAGTCGTGGCCTTCTCCTGCCCTTCCCATAACCCCCGGAGTGGCAGATACCGACGAGAGACAACCCAGATGGGTATCAAATCTCATCAAAGCCCAGCTGTGGCTGCAGGAAACGGCATGCTTCCTGGAACCCAAAACTAGCCAGCGCCCTGTTACCCATTTAGGGTCCTGGCAGTCGAATGTTTTATGTTATTTTTTGACAGATCACGGGTAATTTGTTGTTAATTTCCCCTGAGCACTGATGAGCAGAGCCAGGCCAGCATCTGTCTCCTGCCCCTGGAATGCCATCTGTCCAGGGGAGACGGCTGGCCCATTAGCCAGCGGAAGCGGCCCCTGTGCCCCGCTCCCGGCTGACTGTGCCCGCACGGCGTCTGCTCGCAGCCGCCTGGTGTCTGCTGGGGCCCAGCCCCCGCCTCTCCCCAGCCGGGCCTGAGGCAGGACGACTGGTGCAATGCGGGGCTCAGGCGCAGCACCCCCGGCCTGGTGCCCTGGCCCTGCCCGCACGCCAGCCCCTGTCACGTGGGCTCCTGGCATTTCAGAACCCAACAGGTCTTCGGGTCCTGGGGTCCCACCCGCTCATGGGGGGCTCGTCTCCACAGCCCCCTTCTGCCCCGAGCCAGGCCCCTGGCCCTGAGTCCATCGCCCGCTCGCGTGTGCCGCCGGGCCCCTGACGTCCTGCGTGAGCCTGGCCCTCGGCAAACCCGGGCGGTAGCTGCTCACCCTGAGGCAACCGCTCCGCTCTCGTTCTCTTCCCTCCTCGCAGACGACCCCCGGGGGAGCTGGGGCAGCATGACGGGGGTGATCAACGGCCAGGGGCTCGGCGTGGCCGCCCTCAACACCAGCGTGCAGCGGGGGGCGCGTGCCGGGGCCACCACGGTCCGCAGCAGCATCACCCACGTCCCTGCGAGTGTGGGTGAGTGCCAGCGCGCCCCCCGGCCAGGGCGCCAAGCCCGAGCTCGGGGCACCCTTGAAGGAAACCAGTGCGTCGAATAGTCGAACCCCAGTCCAAGATTTAGGGGCACGCCGTCCTCCCCACCCCCAAGACAGCTGCCTTGGCGGCCAGTCAGGCGATGCCATCTGAAGGCTCTGCCCAGCTCAGAGCTGCTCGAGAGATGAAAGGGTGGCCGGAGACGGCCAAGGCCGGCGGGCTGCAGGGCACGGGGAGGGGAGATGTGGAGTAGAGCCGGCCGGAGGCAGGCGAGCCACCCACCTGCAAACACGTCATAAGATGGCATGTCCTGAGCAAAGGGAACATTCTGGAGAGATGGCGCGGACCTCCCCCAGGGGGCGGCGTGACAGGCTGGACTGAGCTGCTCCCAGAGCTGCCCCCGCGGCAGCCGTGTGGCCAGGCAGGATGGGCGCCGCTGGGAGCGCGGGCGGCGGGGAGGTGACCCCAGACGCTGCCCAGATAGCCCACCGCCTCCACGGAAGGAGGCGCAGCCGTGGCGGGCGCCCGGCGGGCCCGGCTCTGTCGAGTCAAAACTGGCACCGAGGTCCAGCGGCTCTGGGCCGAGCCCACGTCCCGGGCAGGTCTGGCTCTGTGAGAGCCAGTGGTGGCGAACGGCCCTTCCTCCGCCGGCCCTTCTGGAAGGACAGCCGGCTGCTTTTCAGCCGAGTCCAGCCCAGAAGCATGAGAGGTGTGTGCAGCCCGGCCCCGAGGCCGCCCGGCAGCCTCGGATTAGTGGAACTCAGTATTTGTCGAGCATCAAGAGGTACATGCAGGTCTCTGTGTAAATACATTTTGTTACTGTCAAGACTCCGTCAGGGGGGTATTTGCCTTCACCCCCAGGTTCTGGTCCAATAACCAGCCCAGGTACTGAGGCCAGGGAGGGGCGGGCTGAGCCCTCCCCAGGGCAGCAGGGAGCCGCAGAGGGGCCGAGCGCGGGAGCGTGGCTGCCCTCAGGACCAGCCTCAGCCGTCCCGTGCCCCGCCCCGCCCAGGGCCTCTGATGCGGGTGCTCGTGGTCACCATCGCTCCCGTTTACTGGGCCCTGGCTGGAGAGAGTGGAGACGCCCTGAACGGCCACTCCCTGACGGGCGGCAGTTTCCGGCAAGAGTCTCACGTGGAGTTCGCCACCGGTGAGCCGGGCTCCTCGCAGGTGCGGGGCGGGGGTGGTGCTGAGCCCAGGCCCTCGCCCCGTGGTGACTCCAGGCCGGTGGGGACAACTTGCAGGAGAGCTGCTCACCATGACCCAGGTGGCCCGGGGCCTGGACCCTGACGGCCTCCTGCTCCTCGACGTGGAGGTCGCTGGCAACGTCCCCGAGAGCCTGGCCGCTGCGGACCTTCAAGTGCAGGTGGGAGGGGCGGGAGCCCAGGAGCAGGCTGGCGGACTCTGAGCTGTCCTGGCCGGCCGCCCCGAGCAGCGGGCCCACTCCTTCCTGACACGGCAGCTGGGCTGGGCGTGCGTGGCCTTGGGCTCGGTGGGGGGTGCTCCGTGTGCGCCTGGCCACATCTACAGGGCCACGGAGGCGTGACCGCCCCGGGAGCCCACGGGCTGGAAGGAGAGCGGGAAGCTCATGGGTCTCCTTCCCCAGCACCCACTCAGCCCTTGAGGGGGTCCTGAGGGTCCCAGGTCCTTGTCCTTCCCAGTCCCGAATGCTCTCCCATGACCCCCCCCAGGACTTCCAGGAGCGCTACGTGCAGACGGGGCCCGGCCAGCTGTTTGTGGGCGCCACCCAGGGCTTCCTGCAGGACGGGCTCCCGGCCGCCCTGCGCTGCAACCACAGCGTCCAGTACGACGCGGCCCGGGGGCCCCAGCCCCAGCTGGTGCAGCACCTGCAGGCCTCCGCCGTCCGCTCCGACTTCGACCCCGAGGCCCAGGCCCTGCACTTCCAGCTCACCGCCGCCCTGCAGGCCGGTGAGGCCCGGCCTCGTCTCCGCCCCGCCCCCCGCCGCCCACCTGCCAGGCCCAGGAGCGCTGGCTCAACGCCAGTGGCCCCCGCGCGCTCACACGGACCACTCGGGACAGACAGCCACCCCCGGGCCCCTCCGCCCCAGCGGGAGCACACCCACATCCCGAGCCCCAAGGGGACGGCCACACCCCTCCCAGTGGCCGGAGCCATGGCTGGACGCGCCCACGAGGACCTGCCCGATATCTCCCCCGAGGTGCAGGCCAGGCCCGTCACTGTCATCCGAGACCCCAGCGGGCCGTTAGCCTTGAGTGCGGGCAGGCGGGCCTGGCAGCTGAGGCGGGCCAGCCGCTCCACTCCCGGCCGTGGGGCCGCCCTGAGCCTCGGCGCCCGTCGGCAAACTGGGCCGGGCGTTGCCCGCCGCCAGAGCCCTCCCCTGGCGCCCAGACCGCGGGCAGCATCGAGGGTGCCGTCCTCACCTAGCCCGTCTGGTCTCCTCCCCGCCTCCAGACGCAGCCTGCCCACCCTGCGCCCACTGCCCGGTCCCCTGCCTCGTCCAGCCGTCCCGCGTGTCCTCCCGACGCCACTAGGCCATGTCCTCCCCCTGGGCGGCCCTTGGGTTTTAGGAGCACGGTTTTCAGTGGGCGTCCCCTCCCAGCTCTGTGCCCTCGGGCATGGACACCAGCGGGCAGGTCCCATAGCCGGTGCCGCCGGCGGGCTGGTCTGGCAGTGGGCACTGGCACCGACCTGCTCGGGCCTGGGCCTGGTCACCCACCTGGGAGCCGGGGGCTCAGCCTGGCCAAGCTGGGGGAGGGGAGCTCTGAGCCGGCTGCTCTGTCCCGACGCAGCCTCGGGCTGGGTGCCCCCTCCTCAGGCCGGGTCCCCTTTGCCTTGCAGAAGAGAACGAAGTCGGTTGTCCCGAGGGCTTCGAGCTGGACGCCGAGGGGGAGTTTTGTGTGGGTGAGCACCCTCTTCACACCTGGCATGACGAGGGAGGCCTCGCCACTTAGGGGTGGGCGATGGGTTCCGCCGACTGGGGGGTTCCCGTGAGCGCCGAACACCAGCACAGCCCCTCCCCCGCCCTCCAGACAGGGATGAGTGTTCGGATGACCCAAGCCCCTGCTCCCACTCCTGCTACAACACCCCCGGCCACTTCTCCTGCACCTGCCCGGCTGGCTTCACGCTGGCCAAGGACGACAGGAGCTGCAGAGGTGAGCGCCCCAGGGAGAGGCCAGGACCCCGGCGGGGACACATGCCCCAGTGGGTGCCAGATGCCCCGATGCCAGCTGGGGTTCTGAAGCCCCTGGCCCTGGGGAGCTCCCTGGTTCAAGGATACAGATGGGGAGGTTCGAGGACTGGGCTCCCCAGACACATGCTCCTGGCCTCATACCTGCTGAGCCTGGACACAGCTCCAGAGGTCTGGTGGGCACTCTGACACCATGGCCGGCTACAGGGATTGAGATGAGCTGACCCCCCCACCCCAAACCTCTGCTGGCGCCCTTTGTGGGCTCAGCAAAGCCGCTGGGCCACAAATAGTGACCGGCGACACTGTCAGGACAGCGATACCCGAGTTTTGTCCTTCCGCTCCCTCCGGTGGGGCCAAGGGCAGACACTGCAGGCCAAGGCTGCCTTGGGCTCCGGGCTTCAGGTCAAGGCCCAAGGGAAGGAGAGACCAGCAGGTGGGCAGAGGCCTCGGTCCAGAGACTCCTGAGCCTGGGAAGCCTGGGCCAGAGTCAGGGCGACGGGATGTGGGGGACCTGTGCGTTTGCTGTCTGCCTCCAGAAGTGGACGAATGTGGGGGGCGCCCCTTTGCCGAGAAGGCCTCGTGGTGCCCCCGCTGCCCCCCGAGGGCGGGGCCAGGCTTCTGGGCGGCTGCTGACAGGCGGCTGTCACTGCGGGCCCGTGGTTGCCCCTGTTGTCAAGAGAGGGGTGCCGTGCCGGGGGCCCCAGGGCTCTCAGCAGAGCACAGCGAGCCTTACCCGGACCCGAGGTTCAGAGGCCTGGTTTGGCGAGTGGGCCCTGGGCGCTGGGGCTGGGCGCTGCTCTGCGGGGCCCCGGGGCCTCGCCTGCTGGGGGCAGGCGCCCGGAGACGGCAGGCAGGGGCCGAGTCCGCTCGTGGCCCAGCCGGGAGGCGGCCTCTGCTGCTCCGCAGCCGCCCTGGCCCTGTCGCACCGGCTCCTCTGTCACTCTGTGTCTTCATGGCTGCGGGCGCCCCTGCCTCGTCCCCAGATGTGGACGAGTGTCTGGAGCAGTCAGACGAGTGTCACCACAACCAGCTGTGCGAGAACACCCCTGGCGGACACCGCTGCGGCTGCCTCAGGGGCTACCGGACCCAGGGCCCGGGCCTGCCCTGCCTGGGTAGGAGCCCCCCGCCACCCCACCCCGGCCTGCCCTGCCTGGGTGGGAGCCCCCCGCCACCCCCACCCCGGCCTTCCCTGTCTGGGTGGGAACCCCCCGCCACCCCCACCCCGGCCTTCCCTGTCTGGGTGGGAGCCCCCCCGCCCCCCGCCGTTAAGCAGTTATGGCAGGGATAATGCTGATTTCGTGACACTGTGTGCACCCACACCGCTGGGCCCCCCGGCTAGTGGTGCCAACCCCCCACCTGCAAGGTCCCCCCCGGGCTCCTGGGTGCTGGTGGGGGCAGGAGGGGCTCCGGGGAGCTTAGGTAGGGTGTGAGGGGGGGCCTGAGCGAGTGCGGAGTCTGGGCTGGTCCAAGAGAGGGAAGGGTGGCAGCTGAGGCTGCTGGGTCCTGGGGAGACGGGGAGCCGGAGACTGCGGGGCCAGGTGCAGAGGTGCCCCCTCACGCCCCGCCCCCTGCCCTTTCAGACATCAACGAGTGCCTGCAGCTGCCCCCGCCCTGCACCCACCAGTGCCACAACCTCCAGGGCACCTACCGCTGCCTGTGCCCCCCGGGCCAGACCCTCCTCCCCGACGGCCAGACCTGCACCCCGCTGGGGCCGAGCAGGCAGAACGTGACCACTGTCAGCTTCCGGGGCCCCTGGCTGCGGCCCCGAGCCCCTGTCCCGGGAGGCCCTCACCACGCCTGGGTCTCCCGCCGGCCAAGCCCCAGAGCCCTGGGCAGCGCAGGATGGGCCGGGTGCCCCCCGGGCTTCATCCGGCAGAACGGCGCGTGCACAGGTAAGGCTGTGCCCCCGCCACTGGCGGGGGGCACACTGATGTTAGTTTGGGCTCCTGGACCAGGGTGTGGCACCGCGGTGTTAGCGCCCCGGAGCCCACGGGCAGGCAGAGGGCTCCGGCTGTGCTAACAGGCAGGGCCCCCCAGGAGCGGTGGGGGACTCCCCAAGCCCCTACCCTGGTCGAAGGGGCCCCTGGACCCGCGTCCCCAGAAACCAGCTTTAAGAGGCTTTCCTCCTGGTGCTCAGCAGTGAGCAGTCAGGGAGGGCGATTTCAGGGCTGAGGGAGAATGTCCCGGGCTCATAGGAGACAGATGGAGACGGCTGGGGAGCTGGGCTGGGCAGCCTCTGACCCTGCGGAGGGTGGTGCTGGGCTCCAGGGGGTGAAGGGGCAGGCGCCTGGGCAGCTGGGCTTCAGGTCCTTCGGGTCCTGGGCAGAGGGCCTGTGTGAGGAGCTGCGTCTCCCCTCATGCCTTGGGGAACACCCGGCGAGCAGGGGGGACCCCCACCCGCAATAAGCCCCTGACTCCAGGGTGGGGTGGGGCAGGGTGGAGAAGGAGCGGGCTG